AAGAAAACAAAAAATATTATACTTATGAATATTCATCAATAAATAAGACATGTCATGATTTGTGTGGACTGACCAGACAGTTTGCTTTCTTTAAAGTTTCTAGTATTTTTTTTCCTCTCACTGCTAGGGGTTTCTACATTCACATGGTATTAAGTTTTTATTCCATTCTGTTTTAATAATTGCTGTCATTGTTTGTATATGCATTGATTTAAAAACAAAAACTGTAATGTTTTTAAATTAAACAAAAAAAGTGACAGAAACAAAACTGACACAAAAACCGGTGAAATATGAGGCATTTTGCTAGTATAGTCTGCATCTACTGGTCTTAGAAGAGTCCCTGCAAATCAACACATCCATCCATCCATCTTCAACCGCTTAAATAAGTACATTATTTCCACCAGAGCAAGGAGTCATTTTCTTCAAGTTCATTTGGCGGCATGCATTATTCTGGATAGCAGCACAGTGACCTAATCAGTGCAGTCTGCAAAGTAAGTGTACTGTCATTTGCATGCATTCAATATGTCATTTGCATATGCGCTTTTTTTGATTCAGGTTGTGCAGTGCTGGTTGCCGAATTGTGCAGTAAACCCTGTGAGCTGATTAGCCTTAGTTTAGGATGGTGAGGTTAGGCAATTCCCACATGACTTCATTAAAAGTCCATGGGTAATTACCTGAACAGACACAAGACTTGTGACACCGGAACACACACACACATACGCGTGCTTTGAGTGTTGTACTTAACAGCTAGAAGTCGTATGATTTATGCATTATGACTCATGACTTTAATCAAAAAATGTCCACTTTATTGTTTAGTTATACTTTTTACTGTGAGTCGCTAGGTTCCTCGACAGAACAACTATAGAGAGAGAGAGACGGAGAAATGGTGAAAGATGAGAGATTTTCATCCATGACAAGCGTAAGAGGAAATCAGAATGCCTTTGTCATTTGATGAATGTGTTTACCAGTTAGAATTTTTTTGTATGGAAGGTCTTTTGTCAATGTGAAGTGTGGAGACATGGTTTCAATATCATGGTACTCCCACGGATCATTTTGCTTTACATAAAACCATTATTCTGACTCTTAATTCATACAGACTTATTGTTCTATTGTCTAAGAGCAATAATTGATGCTGCTATGGCCACTCATGTTAACTTTACCATCTTTTCTAAATATTTATCAATGAATTATCTTATTAAAGAAGGCATTGAAAGAAACACATTCTTTTTATAGCAAAAATGAAGTGAGGTCTAGTATCTTTTTGATCTTTTTTGAGTCAAAACAGGCTCTATGGATGGCTCTTAACAGATGTTTAGACTCCATCTCTGGTGCATATTTGCCACAAAAGTGTGTGAAATATTTATCTAACCACATCTACAATGAATGGGGGGGGGGACAAAAAAAAAACTCCTGTTCTACCATGTCCAACAAACATGCTCTGTTGGATTCAGATCCGATGACTGGGGAGGCCGCTACAGTACACTGAACTCAGTGCCATGTTCATAGAGCCAGTTAGAGAGCACTTGTATTTTTGGACATGGTGCTTTATCGTACTAGGAGTAGCCATTATAAAACAAGCAAATTTTGGCTATAAAGGGATACATGGGGTTAGCAAAAATATTCATATAATCTGTCGCATTAAGGGATTGCTTTGGCACAGTATTTAGGCTTCGCCTGTATGTGCATGATTTTATGTAACGCATTGAAGCCATATGATTGGATAATTGGATAATTACATGAATGAGCAGGTGTATAGCTGGTCCTTATAAAGTCCCCAGTATAAGTGCCTATATAAGAAAATATGCCAAAATGTAGACTAATAGATGTTTGCAACAACCTGAATGACTGGCTATGTTCTAAAACCAAGGTTACATAATCTCTATGTACTGTATGCACAATTGTATATTGATATGCGTGACCACTGAGGGTGAAGCCAGTCAAAGCACTGCATTGTAGCTGGATTTACTTCTGTGAGACAGTGGGGAATCTCTCATTCCAGTACTTACTGTATGTGTTGTTGTTTTCTCCTATAGATTCACGTAGTCATGTTTTTATCTAAGTTGGTTTTCTACTACATTTTCCCAGAATATCATCAAGAACCAAACACACCAAAATGAGCTGGAAAAGTTTAATGATAATAAGGTAAATTATGATGTACTATGTTACTACAAAACACCTATGTACTGTAAATTAAACAAAAACAAGATTTAGATGTCATGATTTAAATTTAAGAACTTCTAGTTGACCTGATCATCCATTGACATTTCCATGGTTTCTATTTCTTTTGTGTTGTGTTGCTGGTTGAAGGTCAGTGCTTGTGGCATGACTGTGTGCATAGCAAGGTGAAGCTCTGCTAGGCTAACACCATTTATATTCATTTGCTTTTGTCAGGCACTAATGAACTAGCACTGGCACTACCAGGAAACCCTGCACTGCCCACTGATGAGGATTGATTTACCAACGAATTGTCCAATCACCCTTCCGTCCATTCCAGATAAGCGCCTTATTGTGTTTTGCCCTCCCCTCCCTTCATGATTATAAACCCCTTTCACTTCGGTTTTTATAGCACTGTTATTAAATCAAGCTAGCTAGCAGCCAGTGAAGTGCCCAAGCTTAATACACAGCGTGAGGCAAGGGACTGCATACTTATAGCTGTGCTGGCTTTGGAATTTTTTGTGTTGCGATCTACTGTGCATTACATGACATGGAGCATAGTTGCATATTCAACATCATATGGAGTTTAATTTTAGAATTGAATCTAAAATTTGAGTAAATATACACTCACTGTCCACTTTATTAAGAACATCTGTAGACCTACACTTTCATGCAGTTATCTAATCAGCCATGTGTGATCTCTATGACTTTGATCACATGGTTGTTGGTACCAGACGGGCTGGTCTGAGTATTTCAGAAACTACTGATTTCCTGGGAAATTCACACACAACAATTCTCTAGAGTTTACACAGAATGGTGTGAAAAACAAAAAACCTTGAATGAGCGACAGTTCTGTGGGTGGAAATGCTGTGTTGATAAGAGAGGTCAGAGGAGAATGGTCAGGTTGGTTTGAGAAAGGATATGGTGACTCAAATGGTCACTCTTTACAGCTGTGGTGAGCAGAAAAACATCTAGGGCTGCACAAATAATCGAATATTGATCTCGATTACGATTTTGACTGCCCATGATTACATGAACATGATCGACTGCGATATTGACATTTAAAGTACGTCCTATGCCTGGAAATGAGTTAGCATTTTAGCGCTCATGCTGCGAGCTCCAGTGCTTTGTGCGAAGGGAAATCATGACACTCACATGTCGCTAAATGGGACTACAGACGTTGTCTGAGACATTAAACGTCATCACACTGAACAGGAAAACACTTTGCAGATAAACTTTCTCAGGTATGCTGTTTTTTTTTTTTGTGCTGCTACCACATGAGTGGCTAAGTGCATAAGTGGGCAGGTGTACTGGTGTTCCTAATAAAGTGGAAAATATTATGTCGATAACAATATCTAAAATTGATGACGTAAACACAATCAATAGAAAATTAATCAGACTCGATGTTTCAATAAATACTTTCTATGCGCAATTCCTCCTGGCTTTAGTCCTTTCATTTTTATTTTTTTGGGGGGTGGTGGGGGGCTATACACCGCTTAAATTACTTTTAGACCTCAAGGTATTTGAAGTGACAATCCTTTGAAGATATTAATTCTCCATGGAGATGTGTATTTTAACTGCTAGCTTTCAGGATACAGACTGCAGCTCTTGCATTTCCTTTACCCCAATGCAAGTGCCATTAATGAATAATATGTACAAACCTCAAAGGGTATTTTTCGCACATGCACTGGCTGGGAGTGAGCGTTCAGTTGTCCCTGGCCTTCTCTTTTCATAGCAATGGAATGGTATGCATTTTTTAAATATCCAATATGCATCTTCTTCTCAGGTACTAGTAATATTCCTTTACATGCTCCATGATCCTCTGATAGCAGGAATATATTCTCAAATAAGAGTTAGAGAGAATGTCAGACAAACTTTTTATTGTTATTTATACAGTCCCATTTTCCTATAGCTCTAAATTATGTGTGACCTTGATCACAATTTTTCACGAATATTAAATTGACCTAAGTACATGAAGTGCTATATTGAAAAGAGCATTTCAGCATTGTTCAACAAATTAAAGTGAATCATCTTGCGCTAAACAGCAAACTGGAGTTGAACACTAGTTCCTCTTAGATGTGAAGGTGTATTAATTAGAGGCTATTTTTACAGAATCATTTTCAAGGTGCACTCAAGTGTTTCCCTTAATTATTCATTTGATGTGGGCTTACAGGTTGAGGTGTGATGTGGTGTGTCATAGTGCAAACAGCATTAGCTGATGAAGCAACGGAACCGTAGACAGACAAAGAGAGCAAGACAGATGGAGCTTGATGGATGTGAGAGCAGTGCCTATTCCCCTGGAGGTCAAGCGGTTTCTCACGCTGTTCACGACAGCAGGTCACCTTGCTGATTTTGCTGCCCCAATAACCTCTGTAACAGATTATAGAACAGCTGGTTCTAATGGCCATTTAGCAGGAGCCTACAGTAAATAAGGCACATTAAACAAGACTCAGTGGTTGTGTAGATTCATGTGCATTTCAGCTTATTTGAAAAATACAGATTCCAAGCCAAAACTAAAAAATCGCATGCGTAATTATCTTTGCAATGCCTTCGATCAAGTACCTCAGGAAACAGTCATTCAGGAGAGTAAAAACAGCCCAATGTAAAACAATACAGCGTATGCCAGCATATTTAAAAAAACAAAAAAAACAAACAAAAAAACCTTTTCCCTATTGCGCTACACTATGTGTGACGTTCATATTGAAAAGATATTCATATTAAAAGATAATTTCATAATTTTTCAGCAAATAATGAGTCATCTTGCACTAAACAGCAAACAGGAGTAATGAGTGAACGGAGCAAACATTCCAAGGTAAAAATAAAAAAGCATAGACTGGGTATGAAAAGGGGGAGTAGTAACTTAATGGTTAAGGTGTTGGACTACTGCTCAGAAGGTCATGAGTTCAAACCCCAGCCCTGCCAAACTGTCACCATTGGGACCTTGAATAAATAAAAACACCTCTTAAAAAAATAAAAGCACCTTTTGAACAAGGCCCCCCAAACATCGCCCCAAACACCCCCCCCCCCAAAAAAAAAGAACACAAAATAAAAAACCCATCACCAAAAGAATACCGTCCCCATAGGGAGTCATGATGGTGGCAACATCATACTTTGGGGCCGTTTTTATTCAACTTTGACTTTAATAAGGGTGTAGGGAATAATGAATAGTTCTAAATACCAGTAGATTTAGCCGCAGAACCTTAAGGCTAAAACACTTAAAGAACATTTTCACCTTTCAGCACGACAATAACCCAAAAGCAAACCTCCAAATCAATAAAGGAATGGCTTCAGCAAAACAAGTTGAATGTCCCAGAGTCCAGACCTAAATCCAGTCATCAATATGTGGGGTAACCTGAAGAGGGCTGTGCACAGGAATTGCCCAGCCACTTTAACAATCATAGAATGCTTTTTCAAGGAAGAATGGCTAATTATTGCCAAGTCAAAATGTCAAACTGATTGACTCTTACCCAAAAAGATTGAATGATGTGATAATATCTAAAGGTGCTTCAGCTAAGTATTAGTTTAATGGTGTTCACACTTATGCAACCAGGTTAATGTACCGTATTTTCCGCACTATAAGGCGCACCTAAAAAACTCAAATTATCTCAAAAGCCGACAGTGCGCCTTATAATCCGGTGCGCCTTATATATGGAACAATATTGAGCCACAACAGGTCTCGCAACTACGATAAGCAGCTGCCGACTTCCTTTTCTTCCACGTGTGGCAGGGACAAGGTGCATCTGAGGATTTGTTGCATCAACTACGGCACCTAGTTTGAAGGGAGGCCGGCCCCCAGGACAAGGAACTAAACTAGATTAACCCCTAAGGGTAATTCGAGCACACAGGTTCGTAAACTCAAGGAGCCGGAGACATGCGTTACATCAACGATATTTATTCCAACAAAACACATTAATTATTATAAACCCACAACCGAACAAACAGCTAAGATTCTACCTCAAAAAGAGTCATTTAAGCAAATAGGAAAACAAGCAGTGCTTACCTGTTGAGCCAGCGGTTTCACCTAGACGCACACCAAAGCTACCGGTATCCCACGTCACTAACCAGGAAGTCCTTTCACTGACTGAACGACGTACCAGTCAGTCGAAAACCACTTCCTGAAATACTACTCCAGGACACGCCCCCCTCAAGATGACTCACGGGGAAACCCATTTCACCACACACCCCGCGGTTGCATGCTGGATATATACCGGTATATATATTTCATTTCCATTTGTTTTTTATGTAAAGACCCCAAAATGGCTCTTATTAAGAGACACGCAATGACGTGAGTTTAAACTCAAGGCGATCAGTCACGCCAGAAGAACACGGGAATAGAGCAGCAGCAAGAGAATTTAACATTAACGAATCAATGGTGCGAAAGTGGAGGAAGCAACAAGATGACCTACGCCAAGTAAAGAAGACTAAACAGAGTTTCCGAGGGAATAAAGCGAGATGGCTACATTTGGAGGACAAACTCGAACAGTGGGTTGTTGAACAGAGAGCAGCAGGTATAAGTGTCAGTACAATCACTATTCGAATTAATGCAACCGCTAGCGAACTTGGCATTAATGACTTTAAAGGCGGTCCTTCTTGGTGCTTTCGGTTTATGAAAAAGACGTAATCTCTCCATCCACTTCGGAAGAGACAGAGCCGGGCATGTTGGATCCCGTATTTGCCCAACTGTTTAATTCGGACAACCGAAGACGAAGAAGTTCCAGGGATTCGTGGATGAGGAATAACTTAGTAAAGTGAGCTTTACGTGTTTATTTTGTGTGTTGTGTGATTTTAACGTTTGAGCAACGTTGAGTTATTGATATACAGTGGTGTAAAAAGTGTTTGCCCCCTTCCTCATTTCCTGTTCCTTTGCATGTTTGTCACACTTAAGTGTTTCCGAACATCAAACCAATTTAAACAATAGTCAAGGACAACACAAGTAAACACAAAATGCAATATGTAAATGAAGGTGTTTATTATTAAAGGTGAAAAAAAATCCAAACCATCATGGCCCTGTGTGAAAAAGTGATTGCCCCCTTGTTAAAACATACTATAACTGTGGTTGTCCACACCTGAGTTCAATTTCTCTAGCCACACCCAGGCCTGATTATTGCCACACCTGTTCACAATCAAGGCATCACTTAAATAGGAGCTGCTTGACACAGTAAGGTCCACCAGAAGATCCTTAAAAGCTACACATCATGCCGAGACCCAAAGAAATTCAGGAACAATTGAGAAAGAAAGTAATTGAGATCTATCAGTCTGCAAAAGGGTTATAAAGCCATTTCCAAAGCTTTGGGAATCCGCGAACCACAGTGAGAGCCATTATCCACAAATGGCGAAGACATGGAACAGTGGTGAACCTTCCCAGGAGTGGCCGGCCGCCCAAAATTACCCCAAGAGCGCAGCGACGACTCATCCAAGAGGTCACAAAGACCCCACAACAACGTCCAAAGAACTGCAGGCCTCACTTGCCTCAGTTAAGGTCGCCGCGTGTCATGCCTCCACCATCAGGAAAAGACTGGGCAAAAATGGCCTGCATGGCAGAGTTCCAAGGAGAAAACCACTGCTGAGCAAAAAGAACATCAAAGCTCGTCTCAATTTCTCCACAACACATCTTGATGATCCCCAAGACTTTTGGGACAACATTCTGTGGACCGATGAGACAAAAGTGGAACTCTTTGGAAGGTCTGTGTGTCCAAGTATATCTGGCGTAGAAGGAACACTGCATTTCATAAAAAGAACATTATACCAACAGTAAAATATGGTGGTGGTAGTGTGATGGTCTGGGGCTGTTTTGCTGCTTCAGGACCTGGAAGACTTGCCGTGATAAAAGGAGCTATGAACTCTGAATCTGTCTACCAAGAGATCCTGAAGGAGAATGTCCCTCCACCATCTGTTGGTATACTCAAGCTGAAACGAACTTGGGTTCTGCAGCAGGACAATGATCCTAAACACACCAGCAAGTCCACCCCGAATGGCTGAAGAAAAACAAAATGAAGACTTTGGAGTGGCCTAGCCAAAGTCCTGACCTGAATCCTATTGAGATGCTGTGGTATGACCTTAAAAAGGCCGTTCATGCTCGAAAACCCTCTAATGTAACTGAATTAGGACAATTCTGCAAAGATGAGTGGGCCAAAATTCCTCCAGGACGCTGTAAAAGCCTCATTGCACGTTATCGCAACGGCTGTTTGCAGTTGTTGCTGCTAAGTGTGGCCCAACCAGTTATTAGTTTGAGGGGCAATCACTTTTTCACACAGGGCCATGATGGTTTGGATTTTTTTCACCTTTAATAATAAACACCTTCATTTACAAATTGCATTTTGTGTTTACTTGTGTTGTCCTTGACTATTGTTTAAATTGGTTTGATGTTCCGAAACACTTAAGTGTGACAAACATGCAAAGGAACAGGAAATGAGGAAGGGGGCAAACACTTTTTCACACCACTGTATTGTTATCGCTTTGCACTATTTCGAGTGTTACTATATTGTGATTATTATTATTATTTAATTGAGGAAAAGTCCCCCCCCCACTATGTGGGGTATATTAACATTGCACTACATGTTAAAACATGTAAACTACGCTGGGTTGTAATCTATTAATAAAGTTGAACTGACCTATCTGACTGTTTTGTTGACATTCCCTTTAGCGCAGCTCCATCTAATTGATGCATAACGTAACCCCCAGCCTCTACTGTAGCGTCTATTGTATGCGCCTTATAATCCGGTGCGCCTTATATATGGACAAAGTTTTAAAATAGGTCATTCAATGAAGGTGCGCCTTATAATAATAATATAAAATACGGTATATTTAAATTTTTTAATTTATTCCCCTAAAATTATTCTGATTGATTTTCATTTAAAGGTAGAAGATAAAGGTAGGAAATGCTGACATGATTTATCTTGGTTTCATTTTGTGCATGCCATTTCAACAGGGGTGTGTAAACTTTTTATATCTACTGTATACCAAAGTGACTAAATATAGCAATATTTTACAAATATGCTAAATGATAGCGCTGTTTATATTGACTCAGAGTCGATGTGGATCCGGAGCTGATGTGTGTGCAGGGGACCGTGTGCACACACACACACCACACATTCATACCTACTGTAGGGGAAATTTTAAATGGCTAATCCAAATACTGCCATGTTTTTGGCAAGAAACCAGAAAACCCAGAGCAATCCACACAGAGAACATGCACACAAAAAAGCCCACTTGTTTTATTGTATGATATGCTTGGTTGGCATGGGGTATGCCTATAGGTTTGAGTAGCTGCCACGTTGTGCTGCCTATGTAAGCACTTAAGAGAAAACAGTTTAAAGTCATTTCCTTGACGGTGATCGCAGTGATTTGGTTCTATTTACTGCTCCAAATATCCATCTCTGTATCTGTAGTTGGATTTAAATATGGAGTAGGTGTGGCCTCAATCTGAAGGCAATTTTGCCACCTGCCAATTCCAACCCACTAGCCAGCTTTCATCAAATATATAAAACAGCTACCAACTGTAGTGGGTGAAGGTTAACACAAGCATTATCTTCCCTCTTCCGTATACATGAGCTCACAGACTACCAGGATAGTTGCAGGGAAGAGAGAGGGAGAGTATGCCTTCCTTCCCACCCAGAGAGCACAACTGACATTTTCATTTAGAATTTGCTGGTATACTTCAGAGTTCATTGTTGCCAATGATGGCAACAATGTCCAACAATGATGGCAGCTGTGTCCTGGCCCAGACGCTGCAAAATAGCCCAAACCACGATACTATCACCACCATGTTTCACAGACATAATAATGCTGGAATACTGTGTTTTCCTTTCTCCAAACATAATGCTTCTAATTTAAAACAAACAGATCTATTTTGGTCTCATCCATCCACAAAACATAGCCTTCTGGCTTGTCCATGTGATCTTTACCAAACTGCAGATGGGCAG